TATGTGCACCCAATGTCATTTGTGTGTGTGCAGACGCAGATAAACATACTAGCTACTTTTCACACACACCATTTGCCCGTAAATCACCTCCTAAAACCAAATCAACCCATTTGTTTATTTCTGTGAGGGTAATAAAAACTAAATTTCAACTACTCCATGCATTAACAAAGATGCATTTTTACATGGCAGACAAAATAAATCTTGCAAAACGCCATGTCAACTGCTTCATTAAATGGCTTAGAAAATACTTAAAAAGCTGTCAGGCCAAACTCAACCTCATGACAATGCAAATACCATTAAAACTTTCTTGTAAACTCAAAATATAACCACGCTTTAGACCCATTTCCGTTAGGTCGTCAGTCGCTAATGCTTGTTTTCACAAAGTAGTAAGTATTAGCTGTTTTATAGGCTCTGTAATTGAAGCCAAGGATAAATGTTCCTCTACGGAGTCGTAAAAGGCTGTGCACAGCTCAGCTGCCGTTACTGTACAGAATCTCAAACACAAATGATCTTTTCTACATGAATCAAAAGCAAACATCCATAATAGTACAACTTTTGCACACAAAAAAACAACCTACAACTTTAAAAACACCAAACTGTGAGAGCATCACAAACATGTCAAGAGCGCAGCGGGAATTCGTTCAAATCACCCAGGGATTAAACAGAGCCAAATGCTAAATTTAAGTAAATTAAAGAATCATCTCCATTTCAGATTACTGTCAAAGCCATCTGCTCACTCATAAACAAACACTATGAGCGTGTTTATAGCTAAACTAGTATACGTCTAAGCGCTGTTGGCTTAGGAACGTAAGACGAGGGTTGGTGTGTAATCTCACTGTGCGGCACGACTCTTGTGTGATGCATTCTGGGTAGAGGAGGTACAGGCGTGCTAATTGGCTTGATGCCTCGTTGGATTTGTTGGTTCTGATTTGGAAAGCTAAACGGAGTTGAGGTGGACGGATTGGGAAGCAGCAGACGTGCGTGCGTGTGAGTGAGAATGACACACCAGAGAACGGTGTCAAAAATTGTGTTCAATGTCAAAGAAAAACACATGAGAGGGTTTTATTTATTTGATGTTGCATGATGATTTTCCATATTTAAAAGGATGGATTTTGTAGTGCAGGCTTTTAAGTGATTTTTAGCAAATATTTGGTAAATATCCAGTATCATAAAAACCAAGAACTGTTTTTTAAATGCACAAAATTCACAATTCATTCATTCACAATACTTTCATAATGTGAATGAAATAGGATTGGGATATGCAACAACCTATGTAATATAAAATGTATATACACTGTATGAAAAATAAAAAAAAACAAATTATTAAGAAACACCGTCAGGATGATACTGTATATATATATTTTTTTTTAATATGCATGTAAGCATTTATGCATGTATGTATACCATATATATGTGTGTGTATAAAATATTTTTTATAAAAAAAAAGTAATTTAAAAGCATCACAGATGTAAGATACACATTTATATATATATATATATATATATATATATATATATATATATAAATGAATGCATAAAAAAACTAAATTATTAAGAAACGCTGTCAGGATGATGTATATATATATATATATATAAAAAAAATTTAATATGCATGTATTTATGCATGTACTGTATGTATACCATATATATGTGTGTCTGTATAAAATATTTTTTATTTAAAAAAGTAATTTAAAAAGCATCACAGATGTAAGATACACATTTATATATATATACAATTTTATTTTATTTTTAATATGCATGCATTTATACATGTATGTATGCATGTATACTACATATTACATACAAACTACTATATATATATATATATATATATGTGTGTGTGTGTGTGTGTGTGTGAATAAAATATTTTTTTATTAAAAAAGAAAACAATTCAAAAAGCACCACAGATGTAATATATATATATATATATTCATTGAGACTGAATGCATAACACACACAGCCAAAACATCCGTTATTATACACTTATGTCTAAAAGAAACTCAAATAATAGAGACTGCTTCAATCATCGTTTCACTGACACTTTGCTTATGCAATGAAATACCTCTAATTGTGAAGACACTGAAAGAAAAGTGAATCTAAATCATTCACGGCATGCAGCAAAACACGAAGATAGCTATGAAGCTCTAAAAATCTGATGCTCTATTGTTGTCACGCTAAAAGCATCCCACAAACCCATTTGTAACTGCGGTCCATACAAACAGCGCATCCGTCTTCAAAACCCATACTCTGTCACACGATAAACACAGCATTTCCACCCATAAAAGGGAAGAAATTTGCTTTGCTACAAAGTTGAAAAACAAACCATGAATCAATCTCTCACATGTTTATAATTTGCCTTCTTCTTTTTCCAAGATGATGAAATGCACCCGTGAAGACTTTACAATTAGATTAAATTGCACCATAACACAATGGCTAATTAAGTCATTTTTCAAATTCAATAAGGAAGCAGATTGGAAAGCAGAGATGTGATACGAGTTGTTTGGCAAAAACCCTGGTCCAATACGTCCAAGCTGTTTGGCTGACTGATATTTGGCTCCGAGTTCGTATTTCTGGGAATTTCATCAGCGTTAAAGAGAGAGGAACTGTGAGACCCTTTCACGTGACTCGTGTCATGGGTTCAACGCATCTCTCAACACAATGGTTGAGGCGCTTTGACCACTGCGTGAAAATCGCTGCAGTTAATATGGAAGGAACGATTTGGGCTAAAATCATAATCGCGATTAATCGAACAAGTTACGTCGATTACGGACGATTTTTTTTTTTCTCATGTCACTGGCAAGGCTTATACTGTAAATATGCATGTATTTTTTCTAATGAAAGAGTTCATAATCCTATCTTTGTGATTCTAAAACAAGGAAACACAGATAGCTTTTAATGCTTATTAAATATTTCAAAATATTTAAAAATGGAGAAAATTTTTATTTTTGTAAACAAAATAAATTATTGTAAATGTTGCCATCTTAAAAGTAAAATATAACTTGTATAAAACTAATCTTTGTCATATTGCGTAGCATTTGTAAATGCTTGTGTTATTGAAAGATGCTTTGTGGAGTGGAGGCAATTCTGAACTGATGGCGTTTGGATTCTTTGAGTTTGGGGTTGTTTTTTAAGATTGCTTAGTTGAGGACACTTAGGCTCAATCCCAATTCACTCCTTGCCCGTACCCGTACCCGATTCTTGTTGATCGAGGGGTTGGGTGAAGGGGTAGGCCTACATAGCCATCGAAACAGAGATTTTTCAGAGGCAAACTCCAAACGGAGGGCTACGAGAAAGTTCACAGAATGCATCGCAAATCACTCCCAACATCGTTAAATATTTAAATTTAGTGCCAGATGACACCACCATTCAATTTATAAGAAATTGTATAATAAATTACCTTTCCAAAATCAAAAAAAGACATACATTTTGAGGAAGGAATGTTATAATCATCATGTTTCCTCAAAGTTAAGAGCAGCTGCGCTCGTTGTCATGGAGAAATCCTGTAAAAACTACGTAACGGCAGAGCCATCGCGACGACGTATCGGGTTCACGAAGGGTTGTTCCATTTCGTAGGGGAATATTTCAACCCCTTGGCCCTCGTAACTCCGTTTTAAGGGCCAAGGGGTACACTCGAAAACAAGGGGTAGGGCCAAGGGGTGAATTGGGATTGAGTCTTAATATTCAGCAATATTATTGATTCGACTGCACATCGGATGAGAACTGAACTGAGCTGGACGATGACATCACTTCTATCTACAGAGCTGCTTTATAACTGAATTGGATCAACACCTCAGCTAAACAATGAGACTATTTCTATTTATTGCTGCTTTATAGCAGAATTGAAATCTGTTTGAATCATTGAATCATAATTTCCCTCTTTAACCCTGTAAAGCTTCTTTAAAGGGATACTCCACTTTTTTTGGAAATAGGCTCATTTTACCACTCCCCCAGAGTTAAACAGTTGAGTTTTACCGTTTTCGAATCCATTCAGCCGATTTTCTGATATTTAGAAGAATGTCAGTAACCAGACAGTTTCTGGTCTCATTGACTTCCATAGTAGGGAAAAAAATATACTATGGGAGTCAATGAGCCCAGAAACTGTCTGGTTACTGATGTTCTTCTAAATATCAGACAATCGGCTGAATGGATTCGAAAACGGTAAAACTCAACTGTTTAACTCTGGGGGAGTTGTAAAATGAGCCTATTTTCAAAAAAAGTGGAGTATCCCTTTAAGACAATCTGGATTGTATAAAGTGCTATATAAATAAATGAGTATGTCACATTAGAGAATTCAAATGGGTTGTGAATACAATTTCATGTCAACTTCACAAGCTAGCAGTGACAGAAATGGTGACACTTTCCAAAGGTTTCCATGAAAATACAAGTTTAAGTTGATCAATTGACAGTCAGAGCTGGACAGGGGTCAGTCCTCACAGAGGAGATTTGCACTGCCATTCAATGCACTGCCATTCAATTATCTTTCATCTCACATATGAAAAGAGTTCTCATGTCCGTCAAGAGGGAAAGGGATTATGCATGAAGTCCAAATATTAAAACCATCAAACGCAAGCCTGTCGATCTCATTTAAAGACATGGGTTTCACTGTATGTCTGTCATCTTTTACGTTTGGCTATATTTATAAAATCACACAAGGACAGCATATTGGTGAGTTCACTTGTTTTGTCCTCAAATACCATGGTGCTGAAATTACCGGAAGGCCTCCACATGCAGCTGCGCCAGGAGGCCCATTATTCAGCCTCTCCAATAACCTCACTATATCAATGGATCAGCACAATGACAAATCTAGACTCCTTCATTTCAAAAGACCCAGGATAGTCCTGCTTCCATGATATGGCCTTTAAGAGCTGCAAAGCTGCATCCAACACACTTTGGGGAATCATTTGACACAAATCACTGCATTTGTCTTGAAGATTTCCCTTTGTAACTTTAAGCTCGAGTGAAACCGTGATGCGTGTGAATATCAAGCAGTCAGACTCGTACCTCAACAATCCAAATCCTTTTTTCTTTGCCTTTTTCTCTGGGTCTTCGGGCTCCTCCTTCTTTTTCTTCTTTTTCTCTTTCTTCTTTTTGGTTTTCTTTTTCTTTACCTTGTTGTCATCATCCAGTTCCTGGCGAGAGGATCCGCTGGCGGGAGTGTCTCTTCCAGACTCTTCCTCAGAGTCATCTGTTGGTGAAGAACAAAGACACAGACATGAGCAAACTCCTAATGTCATCTTATCATAAGGAATCAAACAACAAGCTCCCAAACAAACTCTCGCTTGTCAGTAAATGATGAAGAAAGTCTTTCTTTTTGTTATATTTACCTGCAAGTTAAACGTAAAAGATTATGCATTCGAAATTACAAAATTACACATTCTAGCCTTTTTTAAAAGAAAAATAAGCATATAAAAATCTAAATATCAGCAAATTTGAAAAAAAAACTAATCAAACACGCACAAAAAATAAGATTAAATAGCAATTAATTATTTTCATATATTTAAAGTCTATTAAAGGCAATGTCATATTTCATAAAAAAAGAAAGAAATTAATTTTTTGTTGCATTTTACATACATTTTTTCAACAAAATATTGTTATCATAATGCAACCCACACACACAAACACACACACACACACACACATATATATATATATAAAATAAAAATAATATTTCATATCTGCATCCTTAATGCACCCAAAATATGCTTAATTTTTTTTTTATGAAAGAAGTTTTATTTACTCCTTTATTTTTCCTTTTGATGTGAAATGTGGCCTGGACATTTTTCGGCGTGATTCACCATCAGTCTCTTGTTGCACTGGATAGGTTGTTACTAAAGCTGATCTCCATAAACCTCCATTCACCCAGCACCTTCTCTAAGGGTGCGAAAGATCGACATTTATTCATGAAGTCTGACACCTTATGGGTTCCAATCGAAGGCTCTGGCTATTGCTTAGGTTCTGTCTCTATTTCTCATTTAGAAGGGGTCTTTAATGTCAATGAGAAAGAGCAGGGTTGATACGTGCCCTTGAATTTGCTGACTTGCTGCTGGAGTTTCAGACAGAAATCCGTGATACTGATGCATTTGCTGATTCACTCCTCACTGGCTCACAAAGCCCAACCAGTCAAGAGAGTCAAATTCATCTCTCAAATGAGCTAAGGGAGCGTCAACCACACTCAAATTTAGAAGTTTTAAAGTCAACATGAAACTCTTTTACATTATGTTTGGAATATTGTCCAATAATGAATTTTAATAATGAACTTTCATTTCCACATATGCTACAATGAGGAAAAAATGCATGTAGAGGTTTTTTTGATAAGAGTAATGAATATGAAGGGTGCAGATGTGAGATTCAGTGGTATGCAGCTGTAAACTGTTAGCACATGTTTGGCAGAACTCATGAAAATCTCGCTACTGTGCTCAGCAAAATGCTTCAAATGGTATGCAGTGCACACACACTTTAGTGTACTTTTGCTGTTGTGAGCAAAAACTGCAGAAACCCACTGAAAGCCTTCTGTTTAAATGAAAACACAACTATAGAATAACATTAACAATATATTGGAGGGCATAAAAAGAGTTATGTTGCATTAGACATGAGCAACCGATGGTGCACTAATTAAAAAAAAAATTATTTCATGTTGGTCGTCATGATCAGTTAAAAACACAAATTAAGCATTAACTTAAACTTAATCAATAACTTAATAAATGTCTAAAAAATGATCATTATTATACTAATAAATCTATTCTTAACTGTAAATAAAATAAGATATAAATACATTAATAAATATGTATTTTTTAATAATTGGAATAAATTTGACTAGGCAGAATTAAATAAAAAATATACATTTAAGATACATATTAATCAATCTAAATTCTTATTAATGTGCGTATATGTAAATTAATAATATTAATAATAAAAAATCACATTATTAATATTTAAAGAAAGGATTTTAATGAATTATGGTTGTTATTGTTAATTGTCGTTGATTGAAATAAAGCTAAAATAAAATCTAAATATTCAACAACAACAAAATCACAAATTAGAAATGTAAACAGTTACCTTGGTTATTAACTGAAATATAGTCGATTAAACTAAAGTACTAAAATGACTAAAACCGAACTTAAAATAAAGCTAAACAGATGTATAAAAAAAGACACGCATTACAAAATGAAATACCTCAAATTAAAATGAAAACTGAAATTATAAAATTCGAATTCAAACTAGAATTTAAAAAAAATTCGAATTCAAAAATTCGAATATACTAGGACAAATAACCTAGTCTAAATTATTGTAATGATTAAAAATAAGTTTCTTTGAATTATTTTATTAATGCTGCATTTGAATATTTCCATAAACTCACCATCCTCGGGTTCAGAAGGCCCGTCGTAGGACTTGTCGATGGCGTGGCGGAAGCTGAGGTTGCATCCTCTGCCTCTGACCATGTGTGCGCGAGGTCGGTGGAAGGGCACCTCGTCCTTACTGACCTCCTCCATCGCTGTCTGGAGGCTCTCCAGAGAACTGGACTTCTGAAGACCTAACCTGGGTCCCAGCGCCGTCCCGTTAGAGGAGGGGGGTTCTGAGACGGGGAGATGGAGGGATGTCAGGGATGGAGGATGGTAATGAAGGGTGAAGATTTGAAGATTAGAAACGTCCTGCTGAAAAGACCAGCACCATCATATAGATTCAACCTGGTCTAAGCTGATCTTTTCAGCAGGGCGGTTGTAAGTAGTGAACTGAAAATGCAACAGTTGTGCTGAAAGTCTAATGGATCTGGACGCCGTCAAAGAACAGACGGATATGAAATATGAAAAGACGTCTGTAGTGGAGGGAGACGACTTGAGAAGGGAGGATGACGAAACCTCAAGGTGAGGGTGAAAGAGCATCACAGAAGTGCAGGAATATTAAACCGAAAACTAGCAGTAGTAGTAGTCCAGGGGAGAGGAACATAAAGTGAAGTACTGAGAGATGAAGAACAAATATCAGGCAGTAAACAATGCAAATGGCGAAGAACAAGGGCAACAGGAGCAGGAGGAGGAGGTGAGGGATTAGAACAAGCACAAACAAGAGAATACAATGGAGGAATAGAACAAATCCAAGGGCTGCAAACACTGGGAGGGCAAAAGAAAGACAGGGGAAAGAAGGGAAGAGAAGTGCTTGAGAGGTAAAATGTCATGCAGGAAAGAGCTTTAAAGGGATAGTTCAGCCAAAAATTAAAATGCTGTCATCTTTTATTCGCTCTCATGTCGTTCCAAACCCTTACATGGAAAACAAAAGGAGAAGTTTCCCAATTGTGTTCCTCAGAAGAAAGAAAGTAATTAGTGTTTGGAACGACATGAGGGTGAGTAAACGATGACGGGGTTTTTATTTTTGGCTGAACCATCCCTTTAAGAACTATTTTTCGTTCTCAGAGCGGCACTTAAAAATGTGTATACAAAAGAAAGAATAATAAAACAATAAGCCACTGAAGCACACACATAATTTCACTATAGTTAAATGGCCTTTCTGAGCACATAACAAAGTTTAGCTGTGGTAAAAAACATTTAAATTTTATAAAACACCAGCAACAGCTTTATGAAGACTAGGGCTGGGTACCAAGTTCGATACTTTTTAGGTACCGACCGAATTGCCTCGGTACTACCGAGTATCGAAACATGTCTCGAAACCAAATTTCGGTACCTAAGTGGTTAATCTCGTCAACGTCAGTGAAACAATAAGCACGCAGAAACATAGAAACCTTTAGCATTGGTGCTTTTTTACATGCTCAAAATACGATTGTGAAAAAGTCAACAAACTGAAAAATGAAATAAAAATTTAGGTAATATTATCGCTAAAACTGGTTACATAAAATTGGTATCGTTCAGGAACCGGTATCGAAGTCAAGGTATCGGTATCGAACATTTTGTTACGATACCCAGCCCTAATGAAGACAGTAGAAGACATTTTCAGTACTTCATATTTTTTTTTTGTGGAAAACAAAATACGCTGTTTCATGATTCTTTAATAAATAGAAGGTTCAAAAGAACAACATTTATTTGAATTAGAAATCTTTTTTCATCTTGATTTTAAACCTTTGAACGGTAGTGTATTTAAACTAAAGTTAAGTTGGATTAAACAAACTCTGGGATCCATGTCCGGTCCTTGTTCTGGAATTTCATTATGCACAAATTAAGCATTGGATACATCTATATCTTGTGGAATGTGGATTTAATTTCCACTGCATTCATGTGTGCCGACACACAAACATTCGACACGGATGGCCCTCTCTGGGATGCTTACATAAATCAGTCTAAACCAGCACAACACTACTGCTCTCTACAGCAAACTAGACGAGCGAGGAACAGAATCAGACCGAGAGAACGACAGCGAGACGGGAAAGTCGTTTGAACAAGTTCGTAGGAAATAAAACTGTAATTGGCGAAGTCTGTACGCTGCCATTACCATGAAAAGGGAAAATAATGAGACGTAGACAAAAACTAACAAATCAGAAGAAGCAGCGCTGCAGGGCCGAAGCCGGCGAACGGCAGATCCTGCGAGAAGAGGAAGAGAGATGAATGAAGAGAGGGTGAACTGTGAACTAAAGCAGAGCAGCGCCCGTGAGCAATGAGTGGTCTTCATTTGGATGAGAGGTGCCACAGGAAAGTGTAGGAGTGTTGGAGGAAAGCCGGTGAGAGAAAGAGAGAGAGAGCGATGCCTCCAGCATCTTTCATCTATCCTCTTAATGGACATGTTCTCGTCTCCTGCACACCGGGACTCGGCTCTTCATGCCAACCACACACGTATACAAACATATACACGTTGCTTTGTTGCTAGCAAAAGGATATATAGAGTTATACTCCACTAATTTAGACACATAAGCAATGAAAGTAGCATTTAAAGCCGGAATAAAAGAATGAAGAAATTATTTTCTAAGTTCATGTTCCTGGTATTATTGTGCAGGATTCAACCATGCAACATAACGCAACAACAAACTATTTGATCCTTACGCAGGAATTAAATAAGAGGTCAGTGATTGGTGAGCATCATCTAACAGCTTTCACCTCCAATGTTCAAGTTTATATGGGAGATATAGTGTAGCAGAGTTATCAAAAATGAAATTACAAGGAACAGTCAATGCATATGTTCATTTCTGACTGGTTGGAAAATGGAGTGATTTAAGAAATTTGAAAGAAAACTTGGCTGGTTTTAAATCTTCAATTAAAAAAATAAATAAATAAATAAAATTATTTATATATATATATATATATATATATATATATATAATTATTTTTATACACATATATATATACAGTATATATATATATATATATATATATATATATATACAGTATAATTATTTTATACACATATATATATATATAAAGTATATATATATATACATATATATATATTGCATATATATATATATATATATATATATATATATATTAATATATTAATATATACACTGTATATATATATATACAGTATGTGTATATATATATATATATATATATATGTGTGTGTGTGTGTATAAAAATAATTATATATATATATATATATATATTTTTTTTTTTTTATTTAATAAAAAAAAATATATATATATATATATTTTTTTATTTAATAAAATATATATATATATATATACATATATATATATATATATATATACAAATAAAATATATATATATTTTATTTTTTATAATATATATAAAAATAAAAATATATATACATCTTATATATATTTTTTTATTATATATACAGTATATATATATATATATATATATATATATACAAATAAAATATATATATTTTTTTTTTATAATATATATAAAAATAAAAATATATATACATCTTATATATATATATTTTTTATTATTTATATATATATATATAAATAATTTAGTTATTTTTTAATAAATAAACTAAATAGTGATTAAGAAGTACCCAACATTTAATATGTAAGGTATATCATTTAAAAGTTGTAAATGTTATCTTTTCTTTTGAAAATACAGCTTAAATTTACATGGTATAAAGTCAAAACTGCTTGATTTTAATTTAACAATGCAGAATATGGTTTTCATTCATTTCATTCAAAATAATTTCTAATAAGTTCACTAGCCATTAACATTTTCGACCCTATGTGTATGTTGTGTACATTTTAACCACACACACACACCGTTTTAGACTATTAACTATTATGCTTCACTATTGTTTTGTCCAATAATATCTAAAGCTCAATATGAGCATTACCAGTGAAGAGTGTTTCACTCATTCTCTCAGAACACCTAAGACTCTCTTAGAGTTATATTTAGTGGTTTAGCCACCACCTCTTTCTTATGAACTCTTTATAGAAATAATGGATTATGGTTTCCTGGACACAATTTCCACAGACACACAAGTCATATGATTTGTTACCTACCATAAAGGGAACATCACATGAGTGCAATGCTTTTTCTAGGTTGCTTAAGGGATAAAACAGTCAAGCCAATAAATCTGGTTTTGACATTATGGATAAATAACATTATTACTGTGCTAGATTTTTTTAATTAACAAGAACACAAAATTACTAAAACATTTAGTAGACACCACAAAAACCTATTAATAATAATGATCAATAATTGAGACAATACTGGACTAGACGGTGAATTTACAGGAAAAATCCATTTAAAAATATTGCGTTTACTGCAAAGCAGATGCAAGGAGAGAGAGAGAGAGTACCGCAGTGGTCGGCTTGGCCAGCACTAGCTAGGGGTTTTTAGCCAGATTAAACTCCGAGCGGCCACGTCTTCAAGACCATCCTAATAATGAAATATGTCAGAGCATATAAAGGAGTCTGGCGTAGGTAAAGCGTGCCAGAGGGAAGAGAGAAAAATGAGTGCGTCAGCAGAATAGCCTGCAGCTTGTCAATATCTATCGGATCCCACATCTGTAAAACTACACTCCAATCAGCCTTTCATGTATTTACCGTTGTCCCTGACCCCTAAGAAGTATACAAAACAGTCGTGTGAAGACTACATGTAAATACGTCTGTGTATGTTTTTATGCAGACACATGCTGTGAGAGCCGCTAAATTGACTGCGTGCATGTGGTTTGGATTTTGATGCAATTTAGGATCCAATGACATGTGTTTGAGTTTATGCGTACAGTACAACTACGATTGGGTTGTTATGCTGTGTGTGTGTGTTGAGTGATGAAAAATCAGCTTTGCATCACAGAATGGTTATTTATGTTAATGTGGAGATTATGGAGAGTTATACCAAGACAAATTCCTTTTAACTTGTTGACATGGCAATAAAAAAATTATTGAATTGAATAGAAATCAATTATATTTTAAAGCATATAAAAATATTTTTTGTTATGTAGCCATAATTGTAATAATTTTTCACAATATTAGTGTTGATTACTTTATTTTTGATCAAATATATGCAGGCTTGATGAGTATAAGAGACTTAAAAATAGTCAAGTTTTCAAACTTTTGACCGATATTGTAAGTATAAAGCATAAAAATCGCGATTAATTGCATCCAAAATTAAAGTTTCTGTTTACATAATATATGTGGGTGCATTGCGTATAATTATTTTGTATATATATATATATATATATATATATATATATATATAAATATGCACACATGTATGTATATTTAAGGAAAAAATATTATTTATATATAAAATATTGATATTTATTATAAATTATATATAAATCTATATACAGTTTATACATGAAAATATTTCTTAAATATATATAAGCATGTGTGTGTATTTATATATATAAAATAATTATACACAGTACACCCACATATATTATGTAAACACAAACTTTTATTTTGGATGTGATTAATCGTGATTAATCATTTGACAGCCCTAATAAAACTTCAAAACTGTTTTCCAGACCGAAAATGTTATATTCTGGCATGTATTATTGTTGATTTTTCCTGAAAACTCGGGTTTTGGAAGAGAATCTGTAGGTGTCTGTGGTCTTGTACCTTGTGGTCACTGCTTTCACTGTGTGTGTGTGTGTGTTTCCTCCACTAACCCAATCCCTCCTTGCAGCAACTCACTCTCTCAACTCAACTGACAAACTACAAATGGGCAGCAGTCGCCCACCGTTTATCTTCATTTGACTTGGCTGAGACACAGTCACTGATCTAGGGTCAGATTACTGGCCTGTGAGTCAACTAACACAGCGCTTTACAGATCGCATGCTTGATCTAGTGCCAGTCTTGTAGCGTTTGACCATAAATGAGATGTAGGCTATTAAAGCAGTATGATGGAACTGACATTGCAAGGCTGATAAACTCTACAACTTGGCAGAGGAATTGTTTACTGTAAGTATTGCTTATTAATAACATAATTACATATTGAACACTGGTGTCTTTTATCATATTTCTGTTGCTGCTGTTCATTCAAATAAATTGAATTTTACCACACTTAAAGGAATAGTTCACTTAAGCAGATAATTTACTCACCCCCATGTCATTCAAGATGTCCATGTGATTCTGTCTTCAGTCGAAAAGAAATTAAGGTTTTTGATGAAAACATTCCAGGATTTTTCTCCATATAATGGACTTCAATGGGAACCAAACAGTTCAAGGTCCAAAAGACAGTTTCAGTGCAAACTACAAACTGTTCAAAGGGCTTTAAATGATTCCAGACGATGAATAAGGATCTTATCAAGCGAAACGATTGCTCATTAAAAAAAAAACAAAGTTTAAGTTTTATAAGCTCAAATGGTCGCCTTGTTCTGTTCTGTGATGCGCGTTTGTGACTCTCCTTTTGAACTCGTTTTTTTAAAATGAACAAATCTTTTTCCGTGTCATTTGGTTCATTCAATGAACAAAATGAACCAGTTGACTCGGGACTGTCTTTTGAAACTCTCATTTGGACCTTGAACCATTTGGTTCCCATTGAAGTGCATTATATGGAGAAAAATCTTAATTTCTTTTCGACTGAAGAAAGAAAGACATGGACATCTTGGATGACATGGGGGTGAGTAAATTATCAGCAAAAGTTTTTTTTTTAAAAGTGAACTACTCCTTTAAGGGGGTAAACAAAACAAAGTTTTTGTGTGTTCAAATTCTTACCGGGTCGCTGTCCTTGAATGGAGGCCATGTTACTCTCATCCGCCACTGAAACACACAAACATAAAACATCCTTTAATTTCTCACTTGTGTCTCTCAGATTGTGCAGGGTCACATTGACAATTGTACAGTATATGTGCTCCAGTAATACTTTTTAAACATTTGCACTTCTATTGTCAGCTGATTTGGTTGACATTAGCATATCAACAGCTTTAAACTTCAAAGTAAAACAAAACTTAGAAGGTTTAAACCGGTCTTCAAGCCTGGCAAAGCTGTCGTTCAGCTGGTTTAACTGGGAGGCAGATGGTTTCCCAGTCTGACCAGCTTAAACGTACCAGCCAAAATAACAAACATAAGCCTATAAGGAAACCAGATACTACTAACCCTGAACATTCACCTAACCTAACCCATGTAGTTACCTTATATGACCCAGTACTTTCTTAGGTAAGTACACATACTGTAAAATAAAGTGCATCTATCTTTTTCCACATGTGTGCTGGTGTATAGATGTAGCTCTCTCTCTCTCTCTCTCTCTCTCTAGTAGCCACACTTGGTTTTAATTAGGAAGAGCAGTGCAGAGCCAGTTACGCTTCTGTACAGCTGACAACATCTGCCGTTTGCCTAAACACACACCACACACACTTGAACAGCTCGTGTTACATTGTGCACACATAGCCGAATTCATAACAAAGACAAAAAAAGGTATGCGTGTGTGTGTGTGTGTGTGTGTATATATATATATATATATATATATAAAACTTTTTTTCAGTGTAGTATCTTCTTCAGAAGGTCTGTTCTGTATGAAATTTTCTCAGTTTGAAACACTTGAGCTGCTAAATATTTTCAATACAAATGTCTTAGATGAATAGAAAGTTAAAAAGAACAGCATTAATTTGAACCAGATATGTAACATTAAAAATGTCTTTACTGTCTCTTTTGATCAATTAAATGCATCCTTGTTAAATAAAAGTATCAAATATATATAAAAAAAAATCTTTGACACAAATTTTGAACAGTAATATTATATTTTAAACAGTAATAAAATGTATATTTTGCCTCTCAAACAAATGTTTTTAAGAAAGCTCAGTAAAAAAATGAAAAAAAAAAAAAAAAAACAGGATTTTTGCAGTGCATATGAGCGACTACATCTATGCAAGCCATGATGACATGTCTAAGACATTTACAGTAGCGCCCCGTGGAGGACAAGGAATTATTAGTGTGTGGGCCTGAGTGTGAGTGGTGAAAACGAGAAAGTGTGCGTCTCTGTGTGTGAGAGAGAGACTAATCCGCACAAACAGGATTGAGCAGTGAAGAGCAGCTGCTGCCACAGGCACTGCACCATGGGATACAATAATGGGGTTTCATTACACTGCAATTTCTCTTAAATAAGCCTTTTCATCTTTTATGAGCTCAATTTCCCCAGCTGAGAAATAACACTAGAAGAGAGCCGGTGTGGGTTTACACACGTGTGTGTACATATGGACACGTATGTGAGAGAACACAAAAAGGGTTGATGGGGGGGAAAAAATAGGTACAGAAAAATAAAAAAAGGGGGGGGGGGTAATATTTTGCCTTTCAATGCTTGAAAGTATGTACAAATCTGGATTATCCACACTCAACATAGCACAGACACAATGTCACACTCATGCATGCAGAAAAACGCATCCGAATACCACACGCGCACAAGAACGATCACAAAAAAAATCCTTTACAAGCACATTTATAGAAATGTATTATATATTTAGCTGTGTTTGCCAAATCCAGCAGCCAGCCTGAACAACCTAGCAACAATCCCGAAAGCCGTAGCAACCACTCTGAACATCCCAGCAACCACCGCAAGATGCAAAATGCCCTAGAAACCACCCAAAACACCACAGCACCCAGAATCTACTAGTAATGCCTTTGCTATCAACCACGCTAAACCCCTTAGCAACCCTGAACATCTCTGCAACATCAAAAACACCCTTGCAACCACCCAAAACACCAAAGCAACACCCAGAACCCTCTAGGAATCCATTAGTTACCAACCCAAGCACTCTAGCAACCATCAAGAATCCACACCCTAACAGCAACCCTGAATATCCTAGCAACACTTAAAACACCCTACCAATGTTCTGAACACTCTGGTAACCCTTTAAAACACCATAACAACACCCAGAACCCTCTAGGAATCCCTTAGTTACCAACCCAAGCACTCTAGCAACCATCAAAAATTCACACCCTAACAGCAACCCTGAATAACCTACTGTAGCAACACTTAAACACCCTACCAATGTGCTGAACACTCTGGTAACCCTTTAAAACACAAAAAACAACACCAAGAACCCTCTAGTAATCCCTTAGCTACCAACCCAAACACTCTAGCAACCATCAAAAATTCACACCCTAACAGCAACCCTGAATATCCTAACAACACTTGAAAGACCCTACCAATGTGCCGAACACTCTGGTAACCCTTTAAAACACCATAACAACACCCAGAACCCTCTAGGAATCCCTTAGCTACCAACCCAAACACTCTAGCAACCACCCAAAACACCAAAACAATTCTCTAGCAGCAATCCTTAAAATCTTAGCAACACCAAAACACTATAGCAATATGCAGAACACCCTTGCAACCACCCAAAACATCAAAGCAACACTCAGAAGAACTCTCCAGGAATGCCCCAGCTACCAACCCAAACACTCTAGTAACCATCTAGAATCCCCAAGCAACAGCCTAGCAGCAACCCTGAACATCCTAGCAACACTTAAAACAAAATAGCAATGTGAAGAACACCCTTGCAACCACTCAAAACATCACAGCAACACCCAGAACCATTTAATAATGCCTTGGCCTATAACCCAAACACTCTAGCAACCATCTACTGTACTGTAGAACCCCCTAGCAACAATGCCTAAAGCACGGTACTATCAAAACACCACAGCAACACCAAGTGCCTTCTAGCGATCCACTCAGATCCTCTGCTTAGGAACACTGTGACCTAGCATCCACCCACAACAGATTAGCGTTAAATGTGGGGTTTTTTCACTAAAATGTTCTGCAGAAAATTTTTCAATATAGTTATAGGCCACATTTTCCGATAAAACCCTATTTGGCTAGTGTAGAGCACTTTTGCATAAAAGTAAAGGTAAATGGCCTGAAAGCAATCAGTAAATGAGAAATAAAGAGCATATTTTACATGAACTCCTGCCCAGAAAAACACATACAGCTGCTAATGATGCGACTGGCAGAATAAAGCTCTTTCTGAGAGACTCGAGCCGAGCCAAAAATCCAGCCAAATCTTTCATAGGGATCACGCTTGACTGGAGAAAACCGTTGTCTTTCAACGTTTCGCAATATCACAGAGGAAAACATTAGGCAGACTGAAATTATGCATCTTGAGGACAAGAAAAGTAGACCCTTGGGTGATGGATATATTACCTTAAAGGGTTGTAGAATGCTTGTAATTCACAATGAATAAATATGCTGGCTATTTTTGTATTTGGATATAAATTACCTGTATTATGCTGACGGTGGTTAATGCTAGAGTAATTGTCTGAAATTGCTCTCCACTTCAGTCGCATTATACGTAGGTGACCCTGACTGGAAATCCATTACCCCAAAACCCACCAAAAACAATCCCTTTGGTGGTTTATGAAAGTTGCATCCACTTTACAGCTTTAACTAAGACTTAAAATTGAAAACTTAAAAAAATATATATATGCAACCACATATATGCACCCTAATGATTCTAAATTGATGCACCTTTTTGTTAAATTATAACATGTACCTTTAATGAATAATCCTTTTTTAAATTAATATGGTTTTATTTTAAATGTTAAATGAAAAAAATAAATATAGAAATATAGAAATATGAAAAATAAAAATACATAAAAAAGTATATTTCTAAAAATAAACGACCTAATGCTGATGCCTATGTAACAATATGTTTGTTCTTCTTAAGACTTCGGTTTAAAACTGCATAAATAGTGTATACATTTATTTAAACAGAAATAAAAAAAAAGGACAAAAAGAAATGAAAAAAGGTCAAAGGAAAAAAACTGAAGCACAGGCCACAAAGCCTACAACAGAAAAATTGAAAGAGTAACTTAAAGAACAAAACGAAAAAGTGAGAGAGAAAGATAAAGAAATAAATAGAGGGGAAAAGGTCTGGATGGAGGATAAAAGATGGCAGCAAAGCAAGACACTATGAGATGTGGGTAATGAAAACCAATCAGCTTTCAGCAGTGAGGAGATTAGCGCAGTGGCAATGGCGCTGAAGCCAATACTCCACCCTAATGAAATGTAATTGGAAACGGGCGAAAACTTCCCATTGTGGAGCACAGAAATATCCCTCATGTTTCCGAAGCCGGTGGAAAAGAGAGAGGATAAGTTATCGGGGTCATCCATGGCGAATTCTGGGAAATGTGTAGCTATAGGGCTTTATTTTGCACTGAAGGCAATGGGTTTCCACTATGTTCAGAAATACAGACCAAAACCTTACAAAGTCTCAGTATAACAGTTGCAACACTATAACACACACCATTTCACTTCAAAAACCTGCGTCTTATTGAGCAACCTCCCACAATCTAAGTTAACCAAGCCATAAATGCACAGAAATAGCACTTCAAGTCATTGTCAGGGTGCAGCCTGAACAGTCCCAGTATAGGATGCCAGATTGTGGTAGTTTGCTCGGTCTGTAAGATGGGGAATTACTGATTTTTTTTGTGTGTATATTTGTGCTGGTCAGCCTTGCTTAATTGAGTTGGGTGTTCAAAATGAAGTTGTAGTTCATTTTATCTGGACTTTATTTTTTTGTAAGTGTGTTTCCATACCTAAATCCATGCTCTTAGAGGACCTGTTGTTGGGGTAATCTGGGACTGTCTGTCGTTGAGGGTATTGTTGGTTGTTGGGGAGGTTCACGTAGGAAACGGGCTCCATTTCAGCCCTACAAGATAAAAAAAAAAACTTCTGATGGCAATGCATTCTCATATCTATAACTGTTATTCACAAGTCAGTTGGGTTGATCTATTATCTAAGCAAAATCCTGTAATGCGGTAGTATAAGAAGTTTGGGAATAAAACGCTTCTGAATGAAGCCTCTGATGTTCACCAAGGCTGCATATATTTGATCAAAATACACTAAAATAGTTGATATTATGAAATACTATCACAATTTAAAATAACTGTTTTATATTTGAAATAGACAAATCTAATTTTCAGCATCATCAGTGTCACATTATCCTTCAGAAATTATAATATGCTGATTTGCTGCTCAAGAAACATTTTTTGGTACCACTTTATATTAAGTGGCTTTAAGTACCAAATTAATCATTTGATACAATGGACTTATACATGTTTTTACATTGTACTTACATTTAAAAAATACCAGCATGTAGTTACAGCCGTAATTAATTTATGTAATTACATCCCTTACCCTTAAACCTACCCATACCACCACACCTGTCCCTAACCTTACCCATATCCCACCTCAATAGCACCAAAAGTGATTTACAATACAACATGAGCACAATAAGTACATTGTACTTATTTTTAAATGTAAGTACATAGTACTTAAAGCCACTTAATATAAAGTGGGACCCATTTTTTAATTATTATTATCAGTGTTAAAAACAGTTGTGCTGCTTCAATTTAAAAGAACAGCATTTATTTGAAACAGAAACTTCAGAAATATCTCACTTAAATGTCATAAATGTTTTTAGTACTGAATTAAATAGTATTCACAACAACAACAAAAAAAAACGTAATTTCATTTCTATCCACTATTTTATATATGATTGTTTCTATGTGTGTATGAGTGTCCCTGTAAGTATATTAAGTAACTAAGAACATGTAAGTGGATAAAATTAGGTATTTGAATGAATATTTGAGATAATGGCATATATAATTCTTCTACATGGTCTCATTGTGTTCAAGTCTTTGAAATAAGCCTTCAGGATACTGAGCGTTGATCAAAGTACCAGATTATCTGGTCTCACGATATGAGAACTCAAAGTTATTATCTCTGATGCTCTATAACTAACCGATCTGGTTGGTGTTTGTGCAGAAGGTTTGTCTCCAGCAGGTCCTGATCAGAAGGTGGAGGGGGGAAATCATCGTCCTCGTAGTCCTCCTCTGGCAGTTCCTGTCTTTCGTCATGTGATCTATGTGGAGCTGTTTGGAAATATGAGATTGAATGTTATAAACCATTATTAGAGCTGATGTCCATCACACATGAGAGGATTTGAGCCGTAGTTCACTTCTATTGTATGAACATGACTAACATGTCCTTTTGCATTCCTCTGAGAAATATAAAGTCATAAAGGTTTGAATGACATGAAAATCCTGCCATTATGAGGAATAAGACACACTTGACCACGTTCACTCAGTTGTGAATCATGTGAGAAAAACACACAAAAATCTCCATTACTGCTCAATGTTCTGCACTTCCGTCCCAGTTTCTTTCCACCATTTAGACATTTATCATATTGTGAGTGACACATGCAGCGACATGAAATATTAATGCTGGTAAAAACACGCGATTAAAACCTATACCTCGTTAAAACTCAACAAAACGCCATTTGTACGAGTTCTGCTCGAATGTTTTTCAGATTTTACCAAATCTAACTGAAACGAGTATGGGAAGTAATCTGAAATTAAAATGAGATGTGTGTAAATATCACATCCCTCTTTGTGCGACTAAAGTACAGCCACATACTTTGACGGACAAGAGACGCTAATCAGTAAACAATGGTTTCCAAAAAAACACGGAAAAGCCTTTTGTGTTGGCACGGCAACTCTCTGGAGAGCGCGGGGAAAGAATAGTGTGAATTTAAAACAGTTTGTTATCCGTTCTCGAGCGCTCGGCACAATTGCGAGTATGCTAATAAGGCCCACTTAGAATCCATTTCATCAGCTTAATGATTTCAAGGTCAGGCCGCGTTGCATAAAAACGGAAGGGAATGTAGCAAAAGTAGCATTGGCTTTTTCATCCCTATTGATGAGATGGGCAGATTTCCAACTTGTATAAGTCGAAAAAGCTAATGGAAAATGAGGCGGCTGAGAAAATGAACTCATTTGGTCCTCTTACAGAGGAGCCAAGCTCTCTTCATCACGTGGTGTTGATGATGAACACATGCTTTCTATTGCTGAGCGCTGATCAATCGCTTTTGTTTCTTTAACAGTGAGAGAATTTAGATGAAAGCACTTAACATTATATAAAAGCAATTACTTTTATCATTTGGTGTGCTGTTAAAAATGCACTCAATAAGTGAAGGTGCATTCACACAGAACTGGATTTGGCGACCACCAACCAAAGTGATCATGCGAAACGATGAGATCCGTCACATGGTCCAGTTGATGAAGGATGTGTCCAGTAGTAAGAACCAGAGCAGTGTGACGCTCTGCTCAATGTTTCACTCCATGCCAGCTTCAACCGCTCAAGCAAACGTTCACCGGTAAAACGACATTGAAATTTCTTTATACCATACGTCTTTCTGTTTGTCATGAACTTCGTAAATATCTCATTACAGCGGGCGTATATAGCAGTTATGATTTAAATGGTACCTATAATTAAGTTAACGTGACTGGAGTGCCGAATTGCAGAGCTTATGCTGTTTTCTCACCGCTTTTGTTTTTATTTTGTTATTAAAAGGAAAGCATACATGTGGCCCATCTTGGAAAAATGAGTCGTAATGTGCATGGACTACAGTAATTACAAGCTACAGGAAAACAGGTATAACATTTTCTGTGAATTTGAGGTGAATTTGAAGAAAGAAAAGAAATTAAGGCTTTTGATGAAAACATTCAATTTTTCTCCATATAATGGACTTCAATGGGAACCAAACGGTTCAATGTCCAAAAAGACAGTTCAGTGCAAAACTGTTCAAAGAGCTTTAAACGATTCCAGACGATGAATAAGGTCTTATCAAGCGAAAAGTTCACTCATTTAATAAATAAATAGCAAAGTTTAAGTTTTATAAGCTCAAATGGTCGCCTTGCTCTGTTCTGTGATGCGTGTTCGTGACTCTCCTGTTTGAACTCGTTATCAAAATGAACGAATCTTTTTTTTGAGTCATTTGGTTCATTCAATGAACAAAATGAACCAATTGATTTGGAAAAAATATTTGTTCATTTTGATGGATGAGTTGAACGGAGAGTCACGAACGCTCATCACAGAACAGAGCAAGGCGACCATTTATATATAACTTAAACATTGCTATTTATTTTATTAAATGAGTGAACTTTTCGCTTGATAAGACCCTTATTCATCGTCTGGAATCATTTAAAGCCCTTTGAACAGTTTGCACTGAAACTGTCTTTTGGACCTTGAACCGTTTGGTTCCCATTGAAGTCCATTATATGGAGAAAAAATCCTGGAATGTTTTCGTCAAAAAC